AAAATCTGGAGGGCAACAGGTTGGGAATGGCTGTTCCTTTTGTTCCTGGCTATTCTAAAACAATAAAGTGATTTAGATTTGTGGTTAGTGCTTACAAAGATGTATTGTTTCTCTTTCAACTCTCTGACAAATGTCCGAGGGTTTTTCCAAACAAACAAAAAACATCCCCCAGACACTAATTCTTTTCCTGTGGCTTCAACATTTTCAGAAATGTTACCTCTCTAGTTTTCAGTTGGATGCTGCTATTTTATTAGTTTTGATTTTACTGCTGTTTTTATACTGTCTCTTATATTAGAGTTTGGATGTTTTATGAAATACTAGTAAACAGACCCAGTGCTTCACAAGTACAAATAGCCATTAGTTTGGTACCATGCGGCAGAGCAGAGTTATGTAGCTGTCTGAGCTGGATGCATGGTGCCCGCCTTATCTAAGTGAAACCAGGACTGCTGGCATTCCTAAGTTCCTTCCATAGTACGCCCCCCACCCCCCACCATAGTCTGCTAAGGGAGGGTGTCTCTCCATTCCATTCCCCTGTAGGGCTGCTCCAGAGTCAGGAGGACTGTCAGCCATGTAACCTTCCCTCATCAGGAGGCACCCCCGGTTCTTGATAATTTTGCTAGTGGTTTTCCTCCCTGCACATTTTTAAGCTCCAAAATATCCTTCTTGAAGACCAGAACTGTATACAGCGTTCCATGTGTGGTTGGCCCATGTATTTGTACAAAGGCATTACATCATTGACACTTTGATAGTTAACTCCTTTTCAAATAAGTCAATATTTTCATTTCATGTTCCTAAGGTTCCTTTCCAAGGCAGTCATTGACAGCTCAGACAACTTCAGTGTATATATGAAGTTAAGATTTTTTGCCCCAGTATGCATCATTGTATACTTGCTTATGCTGATCCTCATTTGCTAATTTATTACCTATTCAGCTAGTCTGGTAGGATCCTTTGGGAACTCTTTGCAAGTGTATATTGAATGATTTGGTGCCAGCAGCAAACTTGACCATCTCATTGCTCACTCCTATGTCAAGGTCATTCATGAATAAACATGTTTGTCCTTATAAATGCATGTTTATACACACACACACATTCAAAAGAGTGAGATTATAATCTTGGAAATCATTTATTACCATGTATCCCCTGCATAGTCTAGTTTAACATTCTCCTGCAATCCTGTTTTAAAAGAGTAACCTCCCCAGGATATGGAGACTTTTGCATAGCAAAACTGAATTAATGATATGGTGCTTTGTTGAATCAAGTATTACTATGATTACAAAATATGTGAGAATTCAGTGTGAAATGCAAAATGTATTCTTGCTTAATTATCAGAAATAAATGATTGTTTTTACACAATGCCAGCTAGCAGCAGTATGCCTTTGTTTAAAAAAATACCCTGATTTCTTTCAGCTGAAACTCAAAGCAGTGAAGATAATTAAAAATAGTAATCTCAATAATAAAATCTAACAACAAAGAAATAGTAAAACCTATTAAAATGCCATACAATAAAGCCAAAACGATGCTTTAAATCCCCGTGAAGGAATGGCCATCTGCATGTTTTGGAAATGCAGAAGAAATTATATACTTGCAGTGGGGGGCAGGGAGCTGAACGGTTTTTTTTAATGCTCTGTTAGGATTTTTTTAAATATCTAGCATGAATCTGGCTTGTTGCAACCCAGCTTCATTGTTTTGTGTCCTGAACTCTGGGATGAGCAAAAAGAAATCTTATTTATCTATTTTCAAATATATATGCAGCTGAATAGCCAAACAGGGTTCTCTAAGCAGCTAACAACATTAAAATAGATTAATTACAATCAATGAATTAATTAAGCATTACAGTTATATGGGGAGGAGAAGCAGGGACATCTGCTAGGGCAGAGGAAGCTATTATAATTGGGTGTTAAAATCAGGTCTCAAAATATCTGCAAAAAAGGATAGCTTTAGCCTGGCACTGAAACAGAAGTAGTTATGGTGCCAGGCAGGCCTCTTTAGGAAGCCCATTCCAAAGGTTGGGGGCAGCCACTGAGAAGGCCCTTCTTCTAATCGCCATCCCTTGCAGCTGCATGGGCTTCAGTCATGGTATTTCTTGGCATTCTCCAGGTCCGTTGGCTGAGGCCTGGCAAAGAGGCCTACATGGCACGGTGGTCTGGAGCAGGCCACAGTAGTCCTTGTCCTTTCTTTTTGTGACAGCCTTTTAGGTAGAATGCGATCATATCCCGTCAGACTTCTCAAGGCTGGCACTGGTGAAGACTTTTTTCATTTCCCAAACATCCCAGCAAGTTTCAGAGCTTATTTTAACTCTTGTTTCCCTGTTGGGTTTTATTAATTTGTGACTGTTGTTTCCTGTGACTTTATATTTAGTTTTATGAGTAGTTTGTCTTATTTTTAAAAAATACTTATATCACCATGGGACTATCATACTGAAGGGACCTTGTAAATTCACTAGCTAAATATAAACTTACTCCTTTATGCTCCCAAATTAAGTTTCCTCTGTCAGTGAGCTAATCAATTACTTCTAAGGGACAAATTTAAATGTGAGTTATATTTTTCAAACTGGCAATAAATATATTGTGTAGGGAGATGAAGACAGCATCTGTCTGTCCTTTCCATGCCAAAAAAATTCTGTGTTCATCCGTTCTGTCATGAATATAGTGCATGGCACTTTGACTTATTTAATGAATCAGTTTCACAGGCTTAGAGCATAATATATACCAGATGTGTCTGACCCCTCTTGACACAGGTGCTTGCATTTTAAGCGCTATCATCTATACATGTCCTGGCTGTTTTCACAAGCCATGCTTAAAATGTACATGCTTAAATTGTATGCATACCCCACAACCATAAGTCAGATGTAAATCCTATGTAGACTAGAAGACACTCGATTTGAAAACAGCTATCTTTTTGCATGAACAGCATTCAGAATAACATATCCCATATTCAGAGCTCATCTTCATGGTACTTATGGAAATAACCAGTATTGCAGATTGTATTATAGTTGTTATTTTGAAAATATTCAGTAGAAAAATAGGAGAAGGCATTGAATGTGCTGCATCTGATTGTCTTATATACTCATTTTTAAAGTTTTAAATGCCCACAGTTTTTTTCTGGTGAAGGAGAAGCCTAGGAGGTAATATAATGTTTCAATATAAGTAAATATTTGAATTGAGTACTTGTAACTATACATAACAAAAAACAGACATTCATGTTGAAAAATTCATTTTTATATTTGAACAATATGTTCACATAAGCAGCTGTACCACTAGAGAAGCTTTTCGTTCATCAGTTTACTTGAGATCTAGAATTAATAATTGGCAAAGTGCTTTCAAACACGATGAAATGACTTTGTGATTAAAAATTGTATGAGGAGGGCAGCCAAAAGAGCAAAAACAGCCATTCATTTTGTGTCTGCTTCCCAGGCATTTTTCATACTGAAGAGGCACATCTCTAGCATCTGCGGCTATTTAATTTACTCACTTTAACACCTTTAGTCAAAGGATTTGGATCGTTTCCTAAATGCATTCCAAAGCCTGGGACAAGGGAACACAATGTTATTAGCTGGAATAAATTCTGTAATTCAGAATGATTTGCCATACTCAGTTTGCATGCCTTTGACTCATCAGCCTTTTTATCGTTAGGAAGGCACTGTTTAACAATTAGGGAGTTTATTCCTAGGGTTTTTGCTACAGCATGTGCAACAAATTTTGAAACAGTGACAGGCCATGTGATCTAGAGACCATGTGGTGGGAATATGAGTAGTGATGCCTATAAATCCCACCTATCTTAGAACAATAAAGCAAAACTGAGACTTAATTCTCTTTCAGCCTGGAGGGAGGCAATCAAGGCAAACCCCTTTCCAAATTCTTTTCCAATTTGCATTAAAATCTGAGAAAAAGCCAAATCTTGGCTCACCCCTTCGTTTGTTTACTTGTTTACATTAGTTCTGTGCTATACCATAACTGGGTTTATAAATGAATAACAGACATGCTCTAAGATGTGTGTGCTTGTCTTATGAGATAAACCTAGGGAAACACATTGCCCCCTCCTGTTGGGATCCTGGTAAGGTTTCCAGGGATTGCAGTTTGTCTCTGCTCCATACATGTGAGGCACCTTTGAATCCTTCAACATCCCTTTCATTGAGGGATAGGCCAGCTCAGGTTCAGGCAGAGAGCAGCATTTGCTGTCTTTATGAATCTGCTCTCACGTACAGTGTGCCATGGTCTCATTCAGCCCCACCACAGAAGTGAATGGAAGCACAGAAGCCCCTTGCCCTAAGGGCCCCCTGAAAACCACTCTGAAGGCTTTCACATTTTACTTTGTTTATGTCAGTTGCTTCATGAGGTCAAGAAAGATTGCTCCTTGCTGCAAAAGATTCTCAACTGGGAAATTTTATTAGGGTGATGGACAATTTTGCATTAGCCAGGAAATGAGCTGAGCAGTTTCCTGATTTTGTTTTCTGTTTGTTTGTTTTTTAAATCAGGGTGAGGGAATGGCTCAGCATATTTCTGACAAAATCTAATGCAAGCCATGAGTGGCTCATCCATCTCTGCACAGACATCACTGTTCCATGAGTTTGATCCTTAATAATGCAGAGCCATTGAAAGAGACCAGAATCCTAAATTAGCATTCCAGGATCACATGATTCAGGACTGATAGATAATTACAGCACTCATTTTCCAGTAGCATCATTCTTAAGGAGCAGTTGCAAAAAGTTTCAGTTTCTTCTTTTGTTATTCTCTTGTCCAGGAAAAGGCATAAGGGAAGACCCACTTCCCATGATTCATCAAAATAATTCTCAGCTAGGAATCATTTTAGGGAACATATCTAAGGCAGCCCTCTAGAGGAAGAGTTTTAAATGCTGCTTCCACTACTGAAGTCAGGCTCTGCTCAGCTTGCTCTTACTAGTATGCATGGTTTTAAGGTTTTAAAAACCTTAATAAAGTCTACATTCTGCATGTTTTGCACATGTTGTGACTCATTGTCCTTTTCTCTTTTCTGGGTTTCAGGAAGCTTTATCAGTTGTGAGTGAAGACCAGTCTTTATTTGAGTGTGCCTACGGAACTCCCCACCTTGCAAAGACAGAGATGACAGCCTCTTCTTCCAGTGAATATGGGCAGACATCAAAAATGAGTCCACGTGTCCCCCAGCAGGATTGGCTATCACAGCCTCCAACCAGAGTCACCATAAAGATGGAATGCACCCCAAATCAAGTTAATGGCTCAAGGTAATAAGGCTCTGTTGAGACAAGAGTGCGGGAGGTATTGTAGGAACAGACATCATCCTTACATTATCCTTACATGGTCCTACACACCCAGACTGCAGATCTGATAATTCCATTTTTCTTCTGAATTTGGCCAGATTAAAACTACAGTGAAGAGGATGGGGGGGGGGGTTGAACTTTCCTCAACATTTTGTTTCCTTTTGAAAGGTTCCCTTGTGCAGCTCAAATGTTCATAATGTCTCATATGAAATTTGACAAATCCATTCTGATCTATACTGGATTGAAAGGAAAACTAATGATAATAGGATCAGCAGTCAGGATATCAAATCAAGTAGAGTTTGTTTAGCTTTCTTCTGAACTGTTCCACATTTTGTGTTTTTCTGTTGTAAGACCTTATGTGGACTAAACTCTATTGCAGCCTAATTTTTGTGAAGACTGCAGAGCAAGCTTGAATTAGCAGACTATCTTCAAAATTAGATCCTGAAGTGTTACTGTTTTTTTCCTACTTTGGCTAAAGAAGCTCTAGGGAAATAATGATTAAACCAATAGATTGCCTTTTTTGTTTTTCGTGCAGAAGTATGCATTTACTAACATTGAAAAATATGTGGTCTGTCTCCATATATTAACATTATCAAAGTGCAGCTGGAACTATTGTAATGACCGTGATCTGTGGTTTGGTTTTGGGACTGAGATCTGAAACAGACAAGCTGTATTGATAATATTTCCAGGTCATCTGAGTTTGACACTAACTGGGAAGAGGTGGTACAGAAGCTGGATTCAGTGTTGGAATCTTCCAGTTCAGTTGTCATGAAGTTTTGGCTATAATTGCATTCTGTTTTCAGTTACCAATTCTTCAAAAATATAGTACAGATGTAAGATAGTCTCACTTTGAGTGACTCTGAAATTCCCAAGAAGCATAGAAATATATCTTGCTGTCAAATTTGTAGAAAGAAATGATACATTGTTTAGAAGTTTGCTTCACAAATGGGTAGGTCCCTACCTAAGTATACAAAAGAGGATACAAACTATGAGGTTACTATTCTACCTGTGATGACATGATGTAATTTAAAAATAGTCAAGTGAGGCAAAGGTGAAGGAATTCCATGTCCTGCCTTCCCCTTGTCTTTGAAGTTATGTTAAATGTAAACATGTGAAGTGCTGTTGTCAAGAAGCTCGGTTGGATGGCAGGCATCTCATGATGAAGGATTTGTATGAGTGTTATTTAATGCAACATTCTGGTCCCCATGTGTCAACACGTGCCGGCAGTTCAGAGGGCAGAAGGAGGAGGAGTTATTCAAGCAAAGCTCTTGGACATCTAGGCAGATAGCTAGCTAAGGATTAGTAAATTAGCTAAGTGCAATTACATTTCCTTGTAGCTAGCAGCAATCTCAGCATTGGTTTGAATAGATCCAGAACATAGGAAGCTGTCTTCTACTGACTTTGGCCCCTGGTCCATCTAGCTCAGTATTGTTGACACTGACTGGCAGTAGCTGTCTAGGCTCTCAGGGCAAATGTTTCTATACCTACCTGGAGATGAGGATTGAATTTGGGTCGTTCTGCATGTGCAGCAGGTACTCTACCTCCCAAAATCCATGCAAACAGACAACTGTGCTTACAATGGGACCTTTCCCTCCCCTCCAACAGCCTCCTGTACAACTTTACAGTCTGCTCTGGAAGGTTCCCCAAACCTCCAAAGCAGATTTGGGAGCCATGATGGGGAGTTGTATGGGGAAGAGGATCACCCCTCCCCATTCTACTTCCTTGAGGCTTTTCCATCAGTGGGAGGGGTTAACTGGATACCACTCAGAACATTTATTAACACTGAATTCCATCTGGGCCTTTTCAAGTCAGGGTTGGAGTTGGTCTTGATGGCAAGGAATTGTGCTCTATACTCAGCTAACAGTAAAAAAACTAAATGTGAAGAAGAGTAAAAATACGTCTTGGGAATAACTTATTGTCTCATATAATGAACCTACCACAAATAATAGTAACAAGTACAATTTGCAGAAATTCTTCAGGGATTATGATTTACTGGAAGAATTCATGTCTGCTTATAGCCATCATATTCTCCTTTTGCTATCTTGATTACCGTAAGATTTTCTCTTATCCCAAGAAGCAGGCCTAGGAGTGCAGTGGCTTCCAGAGTACTCTTAATTTTATGGAACCACAAGCCCACTGTTCCTACTCATTCTGAAAATGAAATACAACTTGGGAAATGTAATCCATTGCCATTATAATATGATTTCTATAAAATAATAAAAAGTTAAACAAGAGAAAATAGATTTAGAAAGTTGCAGGCCAACTGGGAAGCTCATGTGGTTTTGGTTTTGGTACCAGCATATCAGATTTCAGTATTCTCCCAGCACCAATCTAAGTGTAAATTAAGTATTTAAGGAACATCATTTCATAACTGGCAGTAAGCATTCCCACCCTCTTAGCCTTTTCTGCACTCTAACCTCACACACAAGAAATATTGAAGTGTCTGCTCTAATGGAGAAAGGATCATGTGTAGTAAAACTTAAACCAGCTGTTTTCCCTGCACTGCAAAAACAAAGAGCAGTGCTGGTAATATTTATAGCTTGCTTAGCCTTTGGTGAGCCAGACGCTGACTGCCTTAATTTGCTGTGATGGCCTTAAGGCTCAAGCAGCTGGAATGTGCAAGGGAACCACGTGGATTGCTTTCACATAACTTTTATTGCATTACTAAAGACACATCCTGAAAATCTCTTTGATTTATGTAACATTACTGTTACTTGTCTGTAGCATTTGCTTGTTATTTCAATATAAGCAATTATCTAAGTCGTCACTACAATTTTTGAGCAAAAATAAAAAACGGGTATCAAGATGCTGGGATGATCTTGTGCATTTTGGTGAAGTGGGCAACATATTATATTTTGATACCTGCTTCACAGTGGATATAAGTGCTTCCCACTAACAAGCTTGGCTGCCACTTTCTCAATGTATGTACACTTGCATAGATGCCAGGCCCACCATTATGTCATCCATCTTCAATCTGCCAAATTTTCTCCCTTGCAATGCGTGGTCCTGAAGTGAGCATTTACCTTCAAGTCCTTCTGAAATCCATTCACCCATCCCCTCTTAAGGGTGTGTTACAAAGGGTAATCCTCTATTGGAATGAATGCACAATTTGAAGGGCTGCCCTGTCTGGTTTAATGAGAAGCCAACCATAAGGAAGGAAAGCAGGGAGGGGCCTTGAAGGTGCCCATCAGCAGCATGCACCTGGAGAGCAGACTGAACAGGCACATGGTCCAGTTGGTCACAGACTTCCTCAGTGTGGTGATATGTCTAATTGAACTATAGTGTTTATTTCTACATTCACATCTGTACATAATTCAGTGTGTGCAAATCTTATGTAAATAATTTGCATTCCTTTCTGGGTGAAGCATTCCTCTTTTTTAGTGATGTGAAAGTGGACACTCCATGCTGTTTCCTATCCGTACACGCTTTCTGAGTGTGAGCACCCCTTTGCTTTTTGCTTTTCATGCATTTCAACAGTAAAACGGGGTGCCAGTGCATATTTATCTACTTACAGTTTATATTTGAACTGCAATTTATATTTCTATCTCAAATCCAGAGTGGCTTTACTTATGTTCTTATAGTGTGGATAATCTTGCCCTTGATCTCCAGTGGAGCATCCATACACTTGATGATCATTTCTGGTTCTTTCATTGCTGCCCTTCCAAGTCTCAGTCTTCTAAGGTTTTGACTTCAATTTCCGTTCAAATCGATGACTGAGTCAAGATAGGTAAAACCTTTCATGATTTCAGTTTTTTCATTGCTGACAGTAAAATTCTGCAATTCTGTAGTCATGTTCTTTGTTTTCTTAAGATACAGTTCAGCTTTTGCAATTTCTTCTTTCAGTTTCATCAAGAGTCATTTCAATGCATTGCTGTTCTCTGCCAGTAATATGGTATCATCTACATATCTTGAATGATCAATGTGTCTCCTGCCAATTTTCACCCCTTCCTTGAACCTAATCCAGCTTTATGAATGATGTGTTTTGTATACAGATTGAACAGATAGGAAGATGAAATGCACCCTTATCTGTCACCCTTGCCTATAGAAAGCAATTCTGTTTCTCCATGTTCCGTCCTGACTGTAGGTTCTTGTGCATGATACAGGTTACAGATCAGAACAATCAACCCATTTCTTTTATGACCATACTTCCAGAGAATTTCCATAGTGCTCAGGAACCACACAGTCAAAAGCTTTGCTGTAGTCTGTAAAACGTAGACTGATCTTTTCCTAAAATTCTTTACTGCACTCCAGCAGTCGGCTTTGATTTGTGGTATGAACATGAGTGCCTCTCCAGTTTTGGAATCCAGCTTGAACATCGGGCACTTCTCATTCTATATACAGTAATATTCTTTTTGTAACACCTTAATCATTACTTTGCTTGCATGAGAAACTAATGGAATGGTTCTATGGCTGCTGTGCTCCTTTGTATCTTCTCTTTTGGGGATTGGAATGTATGTATGTATGTATGTATGTATGTATGTATTTATTTATTTATTTAGAAAATTTCTAGGCCGCCCCATTCGCCGAAGCCTCGGGGAGGCTTACAAATAAATAAATTAAAATACATAAATAACAATATAAAATACACGTAACTGTATAAAATAAGTAAAATATTGAAAGCTTCCAGTCTGTGAGCCATTATTTTGTTTTCTATATTTGCTGGCATATTCTTGTTAGGTTTGGACAGATTCAGCTTCTGCCGTTTGGAATAGCTCTATTGGTATCCCATCTACTCCAGGTGTTTTATTTCTTCCAAGTGCTTTCAGAGCAGCTTTCAATTTGTTTTCTAATGCTGTGAACTCATAGGTTTTCTCTTCAAAGGAGTTTGCCATGATTTTATCTCTTCTGCATAGTTCTTCGTATTTTTTCCACCTTCTCTTTATTTTCTTTTGGTCAGATAGTATGCCCTCATTTGTCTTTCAGAATTCCTAATCTAGGTTGGAATTTCCCTTTGATTTTTCTGG